CCTTCCTTCCTTCCTTCCTTCCTTCCTTCCTTCCTTCCTTCCTTCCTTCCTTCCTTTCCAGAGAAGGAAACCATGGCCATGAATGGTTAAGTAGTAATTCAGCTAAGGTCCGGGTGGCAGAACTTTGACTAGAACCTGGTCTTGTTAAGTACTGATCCAGCAGTTTTCTGCTATAGCACATTATCACTCCATCAAGAATTGTTTATTCTCGTTTAACTCTCAGTGATGAGACAGACCTTCCCTGTGCCAAGCCCTGTGCTAAATGCTTCACACACACTCATTTACTGGAGGATTAACATATAAAACATTTTAAAAATTATCATCAGTGCAAAAATCTAGAAAGCCATTTACAATCAATTCTGGGAGAAGGGACTTTTTCCTAAAAGGAATTTCAGGTAAGAACACTTTGGGTCAGTTGAGACCACTCAACTTAAAGGCTGTCTCCTCTTGCCCCAGTGATTTCTCCACTTCTCTCCTTACCTGCCCTCTCCCCCAAACTCAATATGGAGTTGCTAGGGTGTCTAACATTAATTCAATACTTCTGTCTAATACCATGAATTACTGGTTTTCTTCTACCTGTTTTCTTTTGAAAGGCATGTTCCCGGTCCTGTAGCAGGAACAGACTCTCTCAATGACTTTACCTCCCCTCACCTCACATGTCCCTGCTACCAGGTCTCACCTCCACAACCCCACCCCGCCCCCCAGGGGATAAAGAGGAAACAGACACGATATGGTGATTTGAAAGGTCTTGTGAATAGTTTGTCCATTTCCATGAGCGTGAGAGCGGCTCTAATTGGAACCCTATGGGGAAAGGCTTCTGTGCCTGGAGGAGGGGAAGTTGCTCCCACACCAAGGATTCCCGCCGGCTGCCAAGGGCTTTCAGATGCTGCGGCAATCTGAGCGAGCAGCCCTGGGGCCCATTTTAACCGAAGCTGACCTCGGGATGGCCTGCCTTCCCGGCTTCCCAGGCTCCTGCCTCTTCTCTTCCCTGGGCCTCTTCTCTCGGGGCCGAGGCCTGTCTTTCACGGGCCTTCCTCTGCCCCTGTCCATCTCCTTGGCCCTCGGGCCCTCCTTGGCGCTGGAGCGCACCTGGCCCCGGACTCTCGGCCTCAGCCTCCTCAGGGTGCTGGTCACCCTGGCGCTGCGTCTCCAAACTTCCCGGGCCCTCCTGGCCGCCT